TTAAAGTGAAGATAACACTTTGTCACATGTTGAAGAAAAGCAATATCTTAATTCTTGAATGCAAAATAAAGCAATATGAAAGAAAAACTATATATATCTATATATATTTATATGTATAAATAAATAATCTTCTGCTCTGAAAATTCTGAAATCTTCTCAGCTCTGTCCTACATGTGGTTCTGATCAGAGTTCCCTTGATTTTTATCATAATAAATGATTCTGAATCTTCATTCTTCTGCTGCTGCTCTGCTGAACTGCTTTTCATACAAGCTCATGACATGATGGACAAACTGATATTGTTCACAAGTCTGGATCATTCCTCCCCTGGAAAGAGAAGCAAGGAAGAATTTTAAAAAGTTGTGGAAACTGGTTTTACCAGTTTTACTTCTAGAAAAGATATACAGTACAGGTGATCCTCGACTTACCACAACTGAGCCCAAAGTTTATGTTGCTATGTGAGGCATTTGTTAAGTGACTTTTGCCCCGTTTTATGACTTTTCTTGCCACAGTTGTTAAGTGAATCACTGCTGTTGTTAAGTTAGTAACACACTTGGTTAAGTGAATCTGGCTACTACCCCATTCACTTTGCTGGTCAGAAGGTTGCAAAAGGTGACCCCAGGATGCTGCAAGGTTCACCAATACGAGTCAGCTGCCAAGAGTTTGCATTTTGATCACGTGGCCATCTGCTGCAATGATCACATTGCAGTGTGAAAAACAATCACAAGTCACTTTTTTTCAGTGCTGTGGTAACTTTGAACAATCACTAAAAGAACAGTTGTTAGTCGAGAACTACCTGTACAAAACTAGTAGAAATAAGACCAAATATAAAAGGTCACATTTAGGACCGACTTAGGGAGCACAGGCATCCTTATTGCCAGCTCGAATGGCTTGTCATAAAAGGGTATTCAAAAAGGAAACTGATGTCAGAGCATTTGTTTGGTTTAGTTAGATGGCTAATGAATTTTAACAGTAGAAACAGGCTGTTGGGTTATGGAACTCTTCAGAAAATGCAAGTTTAGTGCCACACTTGAAAACAGTTATCAGCAAAAAAAAAAAAAAAGAATGGACGCAAGTAATACTGAACTACCGTTCTTAAATCATTTAGAATTTTATTCTGAATAACCATGATAAAGCCCATTATAAAATAATCATTTCAATCTGCAAAGATGTGAGAGGGTGGGAATTTTGTTTTTAACTCCACGCTTAAACTGAGCTACTTAAGGAGAAATATAGTCCAGCTAAGCCTATTCTGAACAAGTATTTGAATACAGGATTTTCTACCTACTGTATCTAACACAAGCCAGGTTTAAGTTTGCAGAAAATACCACTGAGGTAACTCACACAGAAGATTAAGCTTTAATTTGGCAAGTAATTGTTTTGATAATGTTGATTTCACTGAACTCACAACTGAAAAAAAAAAAGAAAACTCAACAATTCATTCTAAGATTAATTAAAAGTACATTTTAATCCTCTGTGTTCTTAAACAAATAAAACAGAAATAAAGTGAATAAAATTAACTGGAATAAAATAAGTGCTGTACAGGGAAAAAAAATCAAAATTCAAGAATTTCAATACTTTTTTCAAACTATCATCTTTTTCAAATAAAATCACTAACTTTTCCATGCAAATGATTTGTACATTCACAATTTTATTCTGAAGCAAATACTTGTTTACATATTACAAAGAAGTAAATGTTATTGAGTGGTGGATTTAGAATGCAACCTTCCACAATCTGATGCCTACAAAGTATGTTGGATTATAATTTCCATTATTCCTGACCAATTATTAATATTTAATGTTTTGTACCTTTGTTTTCATGATGGGAAATGGCCCAGAGTTGCTTGATAATGAAATGGGTGGCATATCAAGTTAATAAATAAAGAATAATTCAAGTGATCAAGACATTTGAGAGCCACCATTTAGGGGAAGGCTACATTAGATTTGATTTTAGCAGGAAAATTATCTTACCTGTCTAACCGCAGTTGGCATGTTGTTCTGAGTATGTCAACCACACCGTCATTTTTCCACTGTTTGCAGCAAATGCTGGTAGCAATAAAACAACCTGTTCTCCCAATCCCTGCACTGACCAGAGAAAGAAATAAAAAGTGAAGAGAAAGATCTGCCAAAAAATAGAACATTGTTTAGAAAATCTTCTTCACATATTTTCCATCTGGGACCAAGTTCATGAGCTTCTTAAACAAGGCCAGGGGGATGTTATAGCACCATTCAGAACTAAAGAATCAGAGCAGAAAACTGAACATAATTGAGGGGTCCTTGGTGGTCTCTGAGCTTGGCTGTTTTCTTGCAAATGTTTCATTACTGAAACTAGGTAATATCATCAGTGCTAGTAAGGAGTGGGGTTTGCTCTCAGTTTATATTCTAGTGCAGACATGTCAAACACAAGGCCCGGGGGCCGGATGCGGCCCGCAAAGTGGTTTCATGTGGCCCACGAAACCATCCTGGAAACAGTGAGGGAATGGCCCCCGCTGCCTTGGCCTTGGCCGGCTGGGAGCCAATGTACAATTTTGTGATGGCCATCTATGCTGAAACGCATTCAGTCTTAGCTCCACAAGGCCATCTAGAAACAGCGAGGAACCAGCCCCTGCCGCGTCGACCCCGTCCCCTGGGTGCATGCTGGGGAAGTGTCACCCTTTGTGAGGAATGAAGAAATGGACTAAGTCTTGGTGCTTGCCCCGGTCCCACCCCCTTCTGCCAGAGACCCTCAGATCTGTCCCACTCCTGCCCAGGCCCCCACAGGCACCCTTGACGCAAATGATGTAGAGCTGGCCATGCCCACCGAGTAGGCCACACCCACTCCATCCACACCCACCCAGTAGGCTGCACCCACCCTGGCCACACCCACCAGGTCCCCCGAGGGCAATCGCAATGCTGATGCGGCCCTCAATGAAATTGAGTTTGACACCCCTGTTCTAGTGGCTTGCCCTGTAAGTGTGGTCTTACAGGTTCTTTGGTTGGGCTGGTCTTAAGATGTTCTTTGGTTGGACTGTTTACTGTTGGCTTGTTTGACAGTTCCTTTATTGGGTATTGTTTACTTGATTGTTGGTCTGATGTTAATCTTGGAGTTAATTTGTACTCATCTGGGTGCTAATTGCTGGTGGGGAGGTGTTTTGATCTTTTTGTTCCTTTTGGCTTCTTGAGTGTTTCCTTTGCATAGTACTGTTGATGTCTATGTGTCCATTGATGGCTAATTTGTCAGAGTGCCAGGCCTCTAGAAATTCCCTAGCATTTTGGTCTTAGTCTAGGATGGTCACATTTTCCCAATTGAAACTATGGTTAAGTCTGTCCATATCTTGTGAAATTAAAGAGTTTTCATCATGTGAAACCAGGGACTCCTCATTTCAACCCTGAGCTAGAAATGTTCTCCTTTATTGGTACTGAACATAACTGTTTAGCTCTACCGTGTATGCTCCAATTTTAGGAAATTATTATTATTTTATTTCAGACAATGTTGGTTGAGTATTGTTAGATCGCGCAGGCAGTAAGACACGAGTCGAGTGACAGTCAGCTCTTGGTTTATTGGCAAGGCATAGAGTAAATCCGGACTGGCTCTCTGGGCCAGGGGAGCCCTCTTTTATGGGATTCCCCTGGCTTGTAATCACACAATTCCATTGGCTGGCAAGACCCTGTTGCTAGTTAGCCAACCAGCAACGGGCATGAAA